CGAGCTTAGAGAAATTGATGAATTCAAGATTGAAATAAAGCTAATAGCTTTCAATGATTATTAAGGTAGACCATAAATATTGCTGTAGCAAATCCAATATATGACGAGTCGCAGAAATGTTAATTTATGCAAAGGGGAAGTGGAAGCAAAAAATATAAATAAAGATTATACACCTGACCGACGCATGCGCCGGTTTGTTTGCAATAGAAGCAAGCAGGTATCTCACTGTCACTCGTACGAATTAATTATACAAGCATCGCAAGCGCCTCGAGCACGCGCCCGCACAAAAGGGACTACGATTTCTGCCATTTTTTTGCATATTTAACACAACAATTTAAATTTTATGAGTATATCTTACCTTTTGGGATGTCTAGCGTCGAGTCATTGACGGCTAATGTACAGATAATTACAGATCATGACTAGATACAGGGGTGGCAAGCTGTGCTGCGTTTTTTTACTTAATGAGTGTTCACCGAGACGTAAACATGAGCTTCCCTGTTTTGCAAGTGAATAGTGGTTGCGACTCAAGCGACGACTCAAAAAATAATACACCTGAATAAAAGGTAATTATACTTTCATAAAGGCGAAGGCAACAATGGACGGAGCAATTTTGCCACCGTGGGGCGTTAGTGCAGACGTGCTAATTAGACGATTTTCTCACCTTCAGTAAATATTATTTTTTGCTGACTTGCGTTAGTGTTTTTGTCAATAGCATTTTTTTGTTACATTTCCAAAGATACAATATCCCCCATTTTATTTTTTTACAGACTTATTTATACCTTCATAGGTATAAATAAGTCTCAACAGTGTCATCACTGTTGAGACTGGTTCGAAAAAACTTCTAACGGTTATTGTATCAAAAATATTTATTTTGTTGTCATTGATGAAAAAGCTACAATTATTATTATAAAAAGATACCTATAATTTATTAGTGGCTTACCCTCGAGGGTAATCTCAGTAATCAGTCTTTCTGTGTACTAAGTTTCATCTAAATTTGTGTAGATATTTCTATGTAAAGAAGTAACAAACTGTATATACACATACAAACTTTCACATTTATAACAGAAGTTCGATAAGTGTCACGATACATGTGTTAGTCTACATACGTCATGATTGTTATTGAATAATAGCAAGTCCAGATCGCAAGAGGTCTCTAAGACCTCCGACCTATTTAAAAGCATTGTTTGCTTTACATACGATTTATATTTTTAATAAGTATTCATAATATTTCATTAAATTGGAAACCTACTGCTTTAATGAAGTAATGGAAATATTTTGGAATATTTTAAATTTTATATCATAATATGTTCTAAGCTTAGAAGAAAAGAAGAGACTGTTTGTCTAAGCCTGTAATTTAACGTAGAACCTAAAAAATATGTTTCTTTAGCGTTGGGAAATGCATTTACGTATACCACCTACATACAAGTACATACAAGTGGTTATGTGGGACTCCTCGGCTAGAAAAGCCAGTTCTGTCCATACAAACCCAACGGAACTTCCCTCCTCTTAATGGGGCATCGCAATAACAGAGAAACCTAGAATAAGTCTCTAATACATACAATTTTATATAATATGCAGTAATCTTCAATTACATAGAGATGTTTGTGTGTTGAAAATTATTTAAATTTTAGATTAAAGAGGAGAGAGAGAAAATAATAATAACCCTTATAGTTTAAGATCCCGATCTATGCGGTCCCCACACTCTTTTTCCGGGCGAAATATTATATTTTTATAACAATAAAACATATTAACAAACATGACCCAGTGGGGTTGTCACCAAAAATTTGCTCCAGGCTATTTTTAATTACAAAAATATAATTGTATTTTTTTTCTCAAAAAGCTAAAAAAAAACAAATAAAATGTAAAAAATAACTAAACGGGGGTTTTCTTTTTGAAGGTATACTTTCGAATTTGGTGCCAGCCGATGAAAAGCAAATCTAATATATTTCGATACGTAAAATACATTACAATTTGATGTATAATATTTTAACTGTATCTAGAGTTCATAACTAATCATATTTACCTATTAGATATTCATATTTTAAAATATTGTCGGCTTATATAAATAATAGGTTGTCTTTAATATTGAATATATATATTAGAGTAAATTAAATAAACAATGTAACAATAAAGTAAAAGTATCACATATGCATATTACATACATACACCTAGTAGTTTATTTCCACTTATGTACCTACAGCAAGCATTATGTATTGTACATAAAAGCATTTACGCTTCGTCAGTACTAACAATGGTAGGTGACGTATTTGATAATCACCTCTGACCCGGACGTAAACAAGGGTATGTGGGAACAAAAAAAAACGAAACACTCGCCATTTACACAATATGTTTATTGTTTACAGAATTTACTTTTATTTCGATTTTATAACTTTATTCTCACACAAAATTATTGAAATAGTACCTTAAATTCTGTGTGTATTTGCCTAAATTGCCTGACTCTATTAACACATAAATGAAGTACTAAAAGTGGATATTTTTAAATGATAATAAGAAATATGTAGTAAAATACATCATGTCTAACCGACAAACTCGTGTACAAATACAATAGCACAGTACAAATGATATGTCAGCTGCGTTATTTTAACGCTGCACTTTTACTTGCATTCTACGAGGTTTTAAGTAGCTCCGGTGTGTTTTTTACTATTCATATAAGATTGTCCCCAAGCCCTGACATGTTGACAATGGCCGCGGAGGAGGCGGTCGGGAAACAAACCAACAAAATGAAAACCGGATTTCCAAAATCCCGTTCGGTCGCATTCGGAACGAGCTGTGTTTTCGATTTCTATTCGATTGTTTGTTTTTTCGATCCATTGTTAAGTCTATCGGGCGACATGCGTACCATTTTTGCAAAGTCTCTATTGTATTCGCAAGCGGAATGACACGTGATGGACGAGACGTCGACGTGCCCCCGGCGGCCGCGCAATATACATATTAAACAAACAAAAAGTGCAACTAAATCTACCCTCAAAATGATTTGACGATAGCATCAAGTAACTAACTAACAATGCTATAAAACGTAATTATAAAATTGTGGTATCAAATAATTCATATAGTATTAAAAACATATTCTATTTAAAGCTAATTTGTAAGCCTGTTCCTAATCTGTATTATTGTATACATGTTTTCTTAAATTTACAAAATGTATTTGGCTGTGCCTAATTGAATTTAGTATTAAAAAATATACAAACAAATTCAATTTTTAAATCATATTTACTTCATAAGCAAAAAAAAACTAAAACTTAGCATCACATTATTTTAAAAAACTTAAATTTAGCATCGATATTTAAAAAAAAAACAAGTATTAAAAACAAAATCGAAAGCATCTACGAATAGTAGGGTCTTTAGATGAGATGATATCGCGATTCTATTTTTTATACAGAGGTATTCGTCCCAAGGTTTCGGCTCTGCGCCTGCGCCCTCCGCACCTGAGGCTACGCAACGGGATTCATGTTATCATATTGGATCCGTCGCCTAAATTAGTTTTTGTGCAACGCGAAGGAGACGAGACGCAGCGGCGGTCAACCATCGCTTCGAGCAACACTTGACCGACTGTTTTTAGGGCTCTATACCCTTTTCACTACCTGGATCTGACTTCTTAAATGATATTTTAAATCGCTACACCCTTGAGATATTTATCTTAATAGCGCGCAGTATGATTTAATATTAAGGAAATTGAATTACTAAATACTTATATCAATCGTTGTCAGTGCTGTGGGATCTTACAACTTTTAATGCGAACTAATAATAGCTAGTATTTTTAGCTTTTTGTATCCATATATAGGACAAATGTATTTAAAATCTAGTCCCATAATATAGTGTCAAGTAACGAATCAAATCCGTTATTTTATCGAAATGGCGCACCAGCAAAAAGCCCGCGCTCCTGCGCGTCCGGCGTGCCAATTATGCGCTGCGCACGCGCCTCCAAAAAAACGATCATCCCATCACAAACATTTTTTAAAGGCCCTAACTTAAATAATAATGCAGTAACACGCGAGAATATTCGCAAAATGCGATCCGCGAATTTCGTTTCCAAATTCCTACGGGCTCGCTTTCGATTTCATTTTTTGCCATCACTATTGTCTGTATTGTCTGCTTAATTCGGATTTGTGTTTCTCTGCGACGCCGGCCGCTGGCGGCTGCTCGGGCGTTTTGTTTTCCCTTTCCAGCGTTTTAATCGACTCATACGAAGGTGGTTCTTAATTTGCTCGCGACGTCACCCGTACCTCGTACACCCGTAGTCCGTCGCTCGATCGAACCCAGACGAGAGCGTTGGGCTCCAGTCACCATAAAGGAATGCTAAATCAGCTGTCTCGAACCAAACGGACTTTTAATAATGCTCCTTGCATACGACTATAATGAAGTGAGCCGAGTTTTTGTGACGACCAAGATTAGCCCTCCCGGCGATGTGAGGTCGCGGACCCCGACCCTATCATTACTAAAACGATCCTAATTTTATAATGATCCTGTCACAGCCCTTCGAAAGAAAAAGTTCCTAAAGGACAATTTTGCGACGAAATGTGGCAGTCGTTAAGAGATATACTTTGAGGATATAGCAATTACATTGTTTCTTTATTATAGGCACATTTACTTATTTTTAACTTGATTGCTAGGTGCCGGCTTTTGTTATTTTTTACACTTTAACAGCGGAAGTTTAAGTCGTACTTAATAAAGTTGCCTCGGGCGAGCGTCGTAGAGTGCACGTAACGGGTGTAATTTCCTTAGAAATATCAAAATATTGTTTCATTAATTTACAACCTATCTAAATATGTTGAAGATTTTTGCAGGTGAGATCTAATATGCAATTATTTATGTATAATTATAAATAGTAACTACGTAAATAACACTTATGACGGTACATGTATGGTATACATATCTCTGAGGTATATAAAAGGTACATTCTCAGTTTGATTAAGGATGAGAGGTTAAATAGTGTTCGACAATCAAAAGCTAGTTAAAAATAAATGTTCGTACAAATATCACGCAGCGTAGGAACACTCGGGTCTCTCCTGTACAGGGGTACGGCTGCGCAGCAGTGTGGCCGGGCAGGCGCGGACAGCGAAGGTCGGCGGCTCAAATGGCACATTTGTATTGTTCATTACAGGCAGAGGTGAGAGATGTTGGCGCAGTCGCCGCGGCGGGGGACCAGGGCTAGTACTGCGGTATAGAAATTATAAATCCTTTTATATATTTTTTTTAAAGCAAAGCAGGGTAGATATATTATATACAATTGTAAGAGTTTGTAAATATAAAGGAAAGTGCTTATTTATAAGTATGCGGACCTCTACTTTTTGTTAAAAATACAAACAAAACTACTTCTAATTATTATATTACATGTGATTGAATCACTTAGTCATTTATTTTTAAAAGTTATTCACTAAATAGACTCTTATACCGCAATTATCAGTACATAAACGCCTTACTGATCGTTATGATGTTTATTCGTCTTTACCTTTAGGTTAAATTCAATATATTAATAAAGTACCGTGGTCTCCAACCCTGCGCTCTCGCAGGGGGTCCGGCGAGCACGTCGCTACGCGTTGATTTGTGCTGGGTCCCCCGCCGGCAGTATTTGTAGTCGCCCACGCCATGCGACATCGCCTGTACCCGACCAGATCCTGTCAATCTTCACACTCATGCTGTTCAGATAGATAGCAAACTGAAAAATGTTTATCAAATTATATATACAATATTCCACACATAAAACGTTAAGTACAAATAATATTATTGATTAGTTTAAGCAAGTATCGCTTTACTGTTATGCCATGCGCAATTATTACTTTGTAACGTCGTTATAATGTAACAGCTGTAGGTACGTCTTTTATTCTGAATATTAAATTTCTATTTAATCTACTATTGTATCTCATTGTTCTTTTTTATAATCTCATTTTACACAATTTAGATAGCTAATTTATTTCCATCATATTTAGTGCAGAATGCACTTTACGAAACTTTAATATTCCAATAACATTAGTATTATAAACATAATTTGTAGTAAAAATTAAAATGTAGAAATTCTTATAGATTAATAATGAACAAAATTAAATTAAGATAATAATTCACGTCGATCCGAGTGAGAGTTCCAAAGTAGAGTCTTGCTGATTAGACCCATTAATTAAAGACGCTCGTGAGATATGTTCTCGGGCGGGAGAAAACGTCCGATATCACCTGGCGCAATTTCGATATCAACACGACGTATTTTCCAAATCTAAACGAGCCGAAATTAGAAGGCTAAGACAAGTTAGAAACCGGTCAACATAAAATTGGAAACGAACTGTAGTGTCGGTTGCGCAAGAGTCGATCGACCAGTTTAGCGCGGGCTCGGCGCGTGGGATCTATGGATCGCGCCCGAGCATGCTTAGGATAGACGAGAACGTTGCTTCTGTAATACGTACTCGTACTAACTATTCATCTATTACAAAAACAACGAAATGAAATTAAACTTTATTCAAGTACACTTATACAAGCACTTACGAGTCGTCAATTTATAGTCCAGTTAAGTCAAATAAGATCAGAAATCAAAATGTTGGCACTCAACTTTGCATTTTTGATATAATGTAGTTTTAATGATACAAAAACAATGTGTAAAGGTTTTCGTATCTACAACCCCCGGCAAAGCCTCAAAAAAATGATCAAAAGTGTTTTTTGCAATTACTCGAAATCGGTAAAAGTTAGGTAAAAAATTTTTTAATAAAAATGTGTAGAGAAAAAAAAGATTTCATGACTTTTTTTATTTATTAATTTATGAATAGAAATATTATTATGACAGAAATATTTCAAAAACCCCAGTAAAGTAAAGAAGTGTAAAAACAAAAAAATAAAGATATAAAAGCTTTTTAAAAAAACCGACTTCCAGGCACTAAAATGGAAAAAATAACTAAACGGGGGTTTTCATTTAGAATATATATCTAATCAGATATTTCCGAAATCGGTGCCAGCCGATGCAAAGCGAATCTAATATATTTCGATAGGTACGTAAAATACATATTTACCTTTTAAATAAAACTATCCTTTCGGATTGTTTCGCGAATTTATTTGGATTTTTGGTTCCCGACGTTTTGAATGTTTTACAGCAATCATGGTCACGGGAGAGACTGAGGTGTTAGATGTCTCGAACTCGAACGAAGATGTATAGTAACTTGTTACAGACAGCCTACCCACAAATAACAAAATGAAAATTGCACCAATTACCTTACAATATTTTTTAACTTTAAACATTTTTATAATTTTAATTAGTTGTATAATTTAATATGGAATATTATTTATTTAATTTTTGCTGTTATTATTATAATTATTACATTTTAAAAATATTAATTAGTAATCTATATTTAGTGTTGCCATTATTATATTTATAACCATAAAGAAAAATATAAAATGTAGTATTAGTTATTTAAGCCATATAATTGTTTTATGTGTAATTTAAAAAGTTAAATTTATTAAGGATAATAATTATAATTTAGTTTGCTTTTATTTAATAAGAATAATGACCCGTGACCATGATTGCTATAAAGCATTCGAAACGTCGGGAACCAAAAATCCAAATAAGAAATCCAAATAAGAAAAAATCCGAAAAGATAGTTTTATTTAAAATGTCAAATATTCGCGTAAGTCTAAGAAAGTACATATTTACCTATTAGATATTCATACCTTAAAATATTGTCAGCTGGCGCCTGGCATCGGTGAACACACATAAAAGACAAGATTCCGACGAATTGAGAACCTCCTTCTTTTTGGAAATCGGTTAAAAATGTATAGAAAATTATTAATTTTGATTTTACAAGTTCTATGCAATAATATACGTATATTCTTGTACCTTCTACAGATAGGGATAGAAAAACGTGGCGCACCTCCCAGTCGACATCGAGGAACCCTGCCACCGCCATACCTACTCGAATATCTATTTAGAAAACTTTTACAGTTTCATTAGAATGCTTTTATTATAATATTAATGGTGTTTTAATTATTTATATATGTTCACGAAATTCTTATACAAATTTAACGAGCTTCTTCTGAAGTTTTCTTTTTATTTGTGTAAAATATAGTTAGTATTTGCATAGATATTTTATATTAAAACTATAAAATCTACTCTTACTTTGTAGAAACAGTCATTTTGAATAAATAAATTGATCGCGGACTGTGAATTATGTAGCCAATAGCGCTATCTAAACATTAAGAATCGAAATATACATTTGGGTAATTAACACCATTGCGATGCAACTCACTCAGTCATTTAAAATAATCATATATAATATACTAGCTTTCTTCCTCGGCTACGTTCGTAATATACACATATTACGAAAATGAAAATAACTCAAATATAGATACACTTTCGTCCAAATCGACTATTAGTCAATAAAAGTTAAATTAAAATATTTTCAACTATTCCAGATATCAGCGGGCACAAGTATATACTACAGATAATTTTTAGAATCTTTTTACTTAGATTTTATGGAAATAACTGTATGAGTTCAATGGAGTAGCTTTTTTGAAACCACAGACAGACAATTTAATTTAATTTATAAGTATAGATTTCAAGGTGACGTGACATCTACGCCACCATTACTGAGGTCGTCGAGATGGCCCGCGAGTGGCATGACTGTCACCTAACTCAGCATTATTGGCCTCTCAATAACATTTTTCATCGTAACCTTTCATTCCTCTGCTCACAGTTTGGCTAAAGTCATAAAAACAGACATTTGTAAGCTGTAACATTGTGAATCTTTATGCTACTTTTTTGATATTCTAAATCTTGTTTTGCCTTTACATGTACTATTTTTTAAATGTCGTTATCACCTATAATTAAGGTACTACTCTACATATATGTTTTATTTTCCATGTATGTTATAATGTGATTAGTTTATAATTTGTTGGTGGTGTCATAAATAAATAAAAAAATAAATAATAAATTTGGATGCAGACGTTCTCACTCTATACTGAGTAGATAACATTAAACTCGCTCTAATAAAATAGTAAGGCATTCAGGGCATATTAATCTATACAAAATTAAGAATTATTACACTAATATGAATGCTTTAACTTTCAATTTTTTAATCGAAGTTCCTACGTTCGATGCTCGAACGGGTTACTTGTTTAATAGGTACACTACGACATCTCTCATCAATATTGAGGATGCCAACGTCGTCTATCACATCCTGTATGGGTGTAAAAACTAAATATACTTAGGCTATAAGCCTAGCTTCGTATAATAAGAAAAAAAACAATATAAATTCAACATTATAATAATAGAGTTTAACCAAAATTGAACAATTCGATCAAACATATCGAAAAATAAACGTACCTATCCATTAAATTTTGAGAACAAAAACCAAGTTTAACTTTTAAATATTATTTTCATATTAGATTCGGTAATATGTACCTAAACGTATAATATATAGTAACAAGTGCCGGAAAGCAGTTCGTGACCACAATTATGTTTTATATTAGGCCGTGAAAGGGTGGCCGTCTCGCTCATATTGATGGTGTATATTTATCAGTAACTATTCGGAACACCTGCTGTTCCCTCAGATGAGCAGTCTCTGTCAAATTAATACTATCCCTGGCCCATAGAGGCCTAATGTTTTATTTGCTCTCAAATCCCTTTAAAATATTCTCCGATGTTGACTTTGTGTGATTGAAATTAGGGTAGAGTCCATCAAATGGTTCATTTAACGGCCGTTTGTTGTTTTTATTGCTGCTCTACAAATATGTGTAAAAAGTTGAATATGTTTGTTTGTACTCAAGCTACCTGTGCACTGTCTTATGAAATATATGAATTAGACTAAAATCTATACTATATTTTAGAAATTAGGTAACTTAATAGAAAATTAGTCAAATACAATTATAATCCAAGGTGTTTATTCATTCAAAACAAAATATAACTTTAACATTACCAAGAATTGTATTCAAGAACTCATTTCCCTTCACAGGTCACATCTTTCAATATCCGTACATCTTACACTCACTACAGCTCGTCTGAAGCGATTGGCTGTTAAAAATAGCAGAGCGACGACGACGCCCGCGCCGCGCCGTGCACACCCATAGCCCGGCATAGAGGGGCGCACATAGGAGACACGGCTGAAAATATACCAATACGGTTCATGGAAATACCTACCCATTTTACATTGCAAATATTTTACAATACTTTAAATTTTATAATACTTTTATTTTTTTCAAAATTAAATCGTAAAAACAAATTTAAGACTTATGTATTTGATAATTTTACTCCCTACCCCTATCCATACATGTATACATATATAGTATTTTCAAAATCAAATAAGCTATTCACATATATTACATATAGTTTTTTGTCTATTAGCATATAAAGTACACGTAAAAAAAACTTAAAAAGACAAAATGATAATACGTTTGTAGTTTATTTTCTTATGAATCTTAAAGCACACATAACAATAATTGCGTGCCAAAAAATAGACGTTTTACTTCAAATGCGATTAGTAAAAAAACTCTATTTACTTGTAGCAATGCACGCCGATATCATATTCGCAGGTGGATGTTTGTTTGCACAGCGCGTGCGTGTAATCGTCTTAAAACTTAGTTTAATGGCGTCTTATTTCGTTATTGGTCCATGGCCTGTGGGTGAT